TGGCGGTGACATTGTATCTCCAGCAGCTAAAGCAAGAAAACAGTAATGGCGGACTGCTGCTTCTCACTCAGGGCGGGGTCTATGCTAATAGAGCAGGGAGCATCACAAATGGGCGGGATTTTTCCCTAGTATGACGTCAATATAGGGAGAAATCTGAAACTGCTCATTTGGAGAGACTGTTTAAGATTTATTGGGATAACAAAAAAAAAACGAGTGGGTGGATTTTTACCATTATAGGCTGGTTGTTTTCACACACTGCGGCCACACAACTGTGTTCAAACACCTTATAAAAGTGATTTTTGCATTCTATGGCACCTTTAAGTCTGTGCTCCAAAGCTTTCAAGATTTACGACAATTTAAGTTGGAAATTTCATTTTCAGGTCAATACTCAAAAAGTGGTTAACAGGTACTAAATGGATCATAACTATTCCATAAATATAATTTAGTAGTACCATAAAAACATATACAAATGCAAACCTCTGTAAAATACAGTAGATAAATTTCATTGGGGGAAAAAAAGTTAATTTTTTACCAGCACACAAGGAGCAGAGGGTTAAGAATATTCTGAAGACAAAACTTTTGAATTCCTGAAAATAATGTTCTTTAAAACCATCACAAATAACCTCTTAACGGTTGTGGCGAAAAATAGTGTGCCTGCTTATAGGTAATCTAAAAAAAAAAAAAGTACGACTTTGAGATGTTTTTTGAGTCAATCATAGAGTCTTCAACATGAACTGCTATATAATTTTATTCTTAAGAAAAAAAATGTTCTTATGAAAATATTTGAGAACTTCTTGCGTTTCAAGAATTGTACATTCTTAGAATTTATCTTAAGAATTTCTTAACTTCTGTCTTAAGAAGGTCTCTGTTAATCAGGCTCCAGGTCAATTTAATCAGATCGGAAAATCAAAACGCAAAAAACAAACGCAATCAGATGTGCAATTTCTATTATTGTAAACTTAAGTCGTTTTCTGTAATTAATGATTCAGGTCTTTATGATTTCCTTATGTGATTCTTACCTATCAGTTAACTATTAATGCTTTTGATGTGTTTTAGTTTTTTTTTTACTTTGGTGCAAATAAAACAACTTTTCCATCCCAAGTATCCATGTGACAGCATCTGAGCTCATTATTCAGTCACATGACTTCACATGCCTTTTTTGATGTGCATCAAGGAATTTATTTGGTAAACATGTTTACATCGTAGTTTATGCACATAACTTCTTACAGAATAAAAAAAGGTTTGAACGTATACATTTTTTATGTGTTTTTGCTAAATGTTATGTGTTTCCCCACAGAATTTGTTTATGCAATATCCCAAAATGTGCATAAAAACACTGGATGGAATCTTGCCAAATGTAAAAATAGCTTTTTGACATATCAAACTACAATGAAAAGTCAACATATATGCATAAGTGCAATACATAGTGGGAGATTATAAACTGGAGAGGATGCAAAGGAAACCCAACATGATCAAATTTGGCCAAAACATGAATTCAAGCATGAACTTTGACTTTACTCTCACCCACCTGTTTCAGTTCTCACTGACTCTATCAACACCGCTAAACACACAACACTTCCCACTGCTGCAGCGATCGCAGTAATGAAACTGAAGGGAGAGAAATATGTGTGTGTGTGTGTGCGTGCGTGCGTGTGTGTGAGTGTGTGCGTCAGAGAAACTGCCTGCAGCATCATCTCCATATCTCTGTTCAGATGTGCCCATCATCTTAAAACAGCACTTGCTGCTTGCAGCGTTGCTCACTGAGAGAAAATAAAATTATGTCTGGAGGACAAATATGGCACGTAAATAATTAATCACATCCACTCTGTTTGCTCGTCACTAGGATTCTCCTAAACTTGATCCAGTCTGCTTTTTCTCCATGTCCCTTTATATCTCTGAAAAAAAGCACACACCTGCACTCAAAACACACTGCATAGTACAGAGAGTCTATCCTGCTGAACTGTCAGTCAAAACACATCCTAAGAGTGCATAACATACAGCAGTTTAGATCAATACAACAATTTTGTGTCCTTCAGTTTGAAAACAAGCAAAAATCTTGCATTATTTACAGCAATGCACTTACAAAGGAAGTCTCTGAGGTATTGCACTAGGATAGAGAGTAAAATGCACAAATATCAAAAATAAAGCACCAAGACTAACAAAACAGTATGTTTTAACATGATTATTCTAACTCTGTGCAAAGTTATACAATATTTCCTCTCATGTTATGGAATCAAGGTTTAGCTGGTTAGCATGCACAGTTTGCCCCTGCTGGTAGATGTCATAACCACACCATTATACTGCTGAAAAGAATCTTGACGGTCATTGAAAAATAGCCGTGCATTATTTTTTTAATAGTATATATATATATATATATATACATATATATATATATATACATATATATATATATATACATATATATATATATATACACAGCTCACATATATAATATAAATATTTTAAAATAAAAATTTTTTTATATCAAATATAAAATAAATAATTACATAATAATATATATTTGAAAATAACCATGCATTATTTTTTTAAATAAAATAAATAAATACAAATTAGTAGTAGTAGTGGTAATAAGTTTATTATTATTTTAATTATTAATGCAAATATATATATATTTTTTTTATTTCTAATTTTTTAAACTTCAGTTTTTAGGCTTTCAGTCTACATGTTTTGTCCCTTTAAAATCATCTGGGAAAACAAAACCAACAATTAAAAAGAACCAGAATGATAAATGATTAACATAACTGATTTTTTTTTTTTTAATAAAAAAATCCACCTGATACATGATTACAGCACATCCTTCTATCAAATTAGGAATCACACCATTAGACAGACTAGACACTACTTCAGGTATTAACAGAAAAATCCACACACAGGAATTATGTCAGTAATGCATAACCAGATATTCATCTAGACAAGTAGTCCCACTGCTAAATGGATGATTGAGTTGAGTCAACTAAACAGCTCAAATAATAAGCATGCACAGCGCTTCAACATGTCTCTGCTCTGAATCCCTCTTGAATGCCTCACATCTTAGACTTCCAAAGTGAGTGCATCGCTGTAACCATCATTTTTGTTTGTTTGTTTGAGGGATGAGTCAATATATTATGCCACGGATGCTTTGCACAGTTGCTTCTACTAAGGGCCAGTTGTAATACTGTGCACTGGATTCAGTATGATTCATCATTTATGTGAATAATTAAATTATTTTATTCCTCAATTATTCTGAAAATAATAAAACATTTCATAAAAAAAAAATGCAAATAGATTAAATTGCATGCAAACCTGATTACAATTGACTCCTAACTAGCCCTGGTCAGGAAGCACCAGCCATGTGCTTTGCAATCTGAGAGTATAAACCAAATCAATTACATATCTGGGGTTAACCACACTGCAGTCTCTGCTGTCATCACCCACATCACAACAAAATCTACACTGCTCTAAAGCCACAGGAGTCCAACAGCCCATTTCAGAGATTCCCAATTGTAAAAGAATTCGATTTAAGACTGTTTATTGACCTTTTTGGACCAGAACCAACACCCATGTGATTGCTCAAGCTGCACAGGATGAAAAAAGATTCTTGCCCTGGAAATTTGCGGTGCATGAAAATGCTAAATGTCTGCACTGTTTTGTTTTTGCAAGACGCAGGCAGTGGAATGGGGGAAAACAATGCATTTTACAAGCAATTTATATAGAAAACCACGTTCTGTGCAAATGCCCCCTTATAGGTCAACATTACACAGTTGCAAAACCTAGTCAGATTTACATTTTTATCAACACTTTGGTTTCAAATGAATTATATGTATATGCTTCATCCGCCATCTTGATCACAAAACTCACTGCAATGAATTGTGGGACTGCATTCACAGCTCAGGATTCATGCAGTGCTGCTTTAGAACCTGGCAGAACAATCAAGCTGCAATATTTTAGAACTGTTTTTGCACCTTTGATGCCTTAAAATGCTGCCAACGTAGGCAGCTCACTAGGTTTTTAAACAGAACCCGTGTCTACATACACGATAGGTGGTGCACCACATCCCATTGACTATTACATCGAAGCTGGACATCAGGGACCAAAAACGTCAAGGTATCTTTGATTTCAGTCAGAAGTTATTTAAATAAGTAATAAATTATTTAAATTCACAACAAATAAAATGCATAGTAAAAAGTATGTGTAAATAAAGAATGATTGAAAAAAATAGCTGTGTAATATAGAATATCAAATATAGAAGGATGTTATCTGTCAAAAGGAGCATCAATCACTTCCAGCACACACAGCTTTGGGAGCGATTTAGTATGATATATATATAATATATATATAATTATGCATTATTCAGAAGTAATATATAATTTATATAATTATGCATTATTCAGAAGTAATAATTGCATTATTTAGTAAATATAAATTAAGAAAGTTCTATTATTGTTAAAAAAAATTATTGTTACACTGCAGGACTGCAAAACAAGATGTAATGTAATAAAAATGGTAAAAAGCATGTAAAAAAAAACCTGCACACTTAGCCTTTTACGTTCATGTAAATTTAAACCTAATGTCTTAAAAGTTCATGTCCATTTTTTTTTACAATCCCAGTACTTGTTCTGACATTTCCAAAATCTTTACATCATGTTTTTAAACCCCTAAAAGCTGCATCCAATGCATCAGCTTCACCTCAGAGTAACAGATCTGCTGTATCTCCTGCTGTGAGCTCTGTTCCCGTTTCTCCGCACATTTGGAAAGGAATCATCCATTCAGCGGGAAGCATCATTTCCAGACGACACGCTGAGACAGAGCTGCACGTTTCCTAAAATCACAATTTCACGCTCTTTCGCGTCTGCTAAACTCCACCGCAACAAATCAGGTGTCTGGTGAGGCACGCGAGCCGAGCTCCTCTGATGTCCCTGCAAGAAACCCCCGCTGTGCTCGCCAGACGGGGAGTCTAGAAAACAAAACCACAGAGTTTCAAACTGACTGACTTGACTTACCGATAAACATGCTCTCCATGGTCGTCACGCGTCCAGATCCATGGCGTCCCCACGCACCACTGCCGTCAAGAGTGAATCCATGATCTCATCTGTGCATGTGGGGAACCACGACCACGAGGACTGCAACAACTCCTCGCTAGTTTTCTGTCCCTCTCTGTGTGTGTGAACTGAGATCCCACTTCAGAGAAACTCAGTCTTGCTCTTGCACCTCCGTCCTCAGCTCTCCGGCTGTAATCTGACTCCTGGTGAAGCAGCTCTCTCCGGCGTGCCGATACCAGCGTCTCTGGCGGGAGTCGAGCTGCGGCTGCTCATTTGTTCTGTCTGAGTGTTCCTCGGGCACTGCTCTCTCCCTCTCTCTCTTATCTCTCGTTCGCTCTTCCAGCACCTCCCTACTTCATCTATCATGCTCTCTCTCTCTCTCTCTTTCCAGTTATCTGGTGATGTCCTCATAAAGCAAACAAATAAAAAAAAGTATAATTTCTATTTTATTTTAGTAATTTATCTAGTAAGAAAATGTGAGCATTTGATTAGCTGCAGAAGAAGTCACTTTCATGGTGTAAAAGTGTTTGGCAGGACATTACTACAGTTTTTTTTTTTTTTGGCTGTGGTGTTGCTCGACAGTTGCTAGGGTGTTTTGGATGGTTACCAGGGTGTTCTCTTTGGTCGCTATGGTGTTTCTACCATTCTAAGTTCTAGGTGGTTGCTAGGGTATTGTGGGTGGTTTCTCCACTGTTCTGCTTAAGTTGTTGCTATATGGTTGCTACCATGTTCTAAATGGTTGCTAGGTTGATCTAGGTGGTTGCTAGGGTATTTTCTGCTGTTCTGTTTATGCTGGTGCTATATGGTTGCTACCATGTTTTGCATGGTTGCTAGGTTGCTCTAGGTAGTAGGGTATTTAGGTTTTTGCTATGATTGCTACATGGTTGCTACCATGTTCTGCATGGTTGCTAGGTTGTAAGGTGCAGTTACTAGGGTATTCTGGGTGGTTTCTCTGCAGTTCTGTTTGTTATGTTGTTACTATGTGGTTGCTAGGATACTCTAGGTGGTTGCTAGGGTATTCTCTGCTGTCCTGTTCTGTTGTTGCTACCATGTTTTGCATGGTTGCTAGGTTGTAAGGTGTGGTTACTAAGGTATTCTGGGTGGTTTCTCTGCAGTTTTCTTTGTTATGTTGCTGCTATATGGTTGCTACCATGCTTTGCATGGTTGCTAGGTTGCTCTAGGTAGTTAGTAGGGTATTTTGGGTGGTTTATCTGCTGTACTGTTTATATTGTTGCTATATGATTGCTACTTTGTTGCTACCATGTTCTGCATGGTTGGTAAGATGTTCTAGGTGGTTGCTAGGTTATTCTCTGCTCTCCTGTTATGTTGTCGCTATATGGTTGCTACCATGTTTTGCATGGTTGCTAGGTTGTAAGGTGTGGTTACTAGGGTATTCTGGGTGGTTTCTCTGCAGTTCTGTTTGTTATGTTGTTGCTATATGGTTGCTACCATGTTCTGCATAGTTGCTAGGATGCTCTAGGTGGTTGCTAGGGTATTCTCCCCTGTCCTGTTATGTTGTTGCTATATGGTTGCTACCATGTTTTGCATGGTTGCTAGGTTGTAAGGTGTGGTTACTAGGGTATTCTGGGTGGTTTCTCTGCAGTTATGTTTGTTATGTTGCTGCTATACGGTTGCTACCATGTTTTGCATGGTTGCTAGGTTGCCCTAGGTAGTTACTAGGTTATTGTGGGTGGTTTCTTTGCTGTTCTGTTTATGTTGTTGCTATATGATTGCTACATTGTTGCTAACATGTTCTGCATGGTTGCTAGGATGCTCTAGGTGGTTGCTAGGGTATTCTCTGTGGTCCTGTTTGTTATGTTGTTGTTATATGGTTGCTGTTGCTAAGGTGTCCCAAATAGTCGCTATGGTGTTGCAACAGTATATGGTTGCTTCCATCTTCTGGATGGTTGCCAAGTTGTTACAATGGTGTTGCTAGTCTATTCAGGCTGGTTGCTAGAGTGTTCTGTGTGGTTGCTATGGCATTGCTATGTGGTTGATGGGTTTTCTGGGTGGATTACACTCTGTTGCTAGGGTGTTTTCTGTGGTGGCTATGGCATTGCTATATTGGTGCTACCAAGTTCTGCATGGTTACTAAAGTTGTTCTGGGTGGTTTCCACACTGCTGCTAGGGTGTTCTTGGTGTATGATATGATGTTGCTAGACAGTCACTAGCCTGCTCTGGCTAGTTGCTAGAGTGTTCTGTGTGTTTGTTATGGCATGCAAGATAGTTACTCGATGTCTCTGGGTTGTTGCATGGATATTCCAGCTGGTTGTTAGGTTGTTGCTATGGTGTTGCTAGATGGTTGCTAGGCTGTTGGGGGTGGTTGCTATGGTGTTCCAGCACATTCCAGGGCAAGAAGAAAACCTCTGGTTCTAAGCCCAGGAAGGACAAGACTTCTCATTGGTCCACATGGAGTTTCTGCCCTTCACCCATCTAGAGACTAATGCCTAAGGTTGTGGCCTGTGACCACCATAAAAATTCCTCAGGACCTCTGGATATAGCAGCAGTGGGTGAAAAAAAAGAGAGATCACAAAGATACATCCAAATCCATTCATAACTATGTTTTGGGAACCTTAAAACTTATGCAAACTACAACACATCCGTTTCATACTTATTCAGAGAAGTAAGTATTCTCAGTGACAGCTATGTGTATTGCAACATCTTACACAAACTCAGCTGTTAAAGGACAAATGAATGCATGCATGACAGTTCAATCTTTTTTTAATGTGTTCAGAACATTGCCAAAGGTAATCTGGTAGTATTTTGGTAAGTGAATAATGCATCTGTAAAACTTTAGGGGTGCTCTGGTTGATCGGCTACTGATTGCTATTGACCGATAATCGCTTTAAGAAGTTTGATCGGCGGTCTCCATAAAGGCCGATCTCATAAACCGATCTCAAGCTGACGACGCACCTGCCATGAGAGGTTTGTCATGACATGCAGCGGCACCGTCTCAATCTCTGTTCGGCATGGGTAAAATAATTATAATGCTGAAGGTGAGGTACAAGTCATATTTCTTTATTATATACCTTACAAAAAAAACAGTAATTTGAAAACTTTCTGTGAGACGCGTCTGCACTATAAGCGAGCTGCAGGAATTGTCAACTTGCACAGTCCAGGCAGTGTCACATTGTCGCTAAAGTTTATAATTTGCATTTCTTTTTAAGTCATGCCAGTGTTTAAAGCATTCAGCACTCGCGCACTCTCCTAGAGACAGTGCACTCATGCACACTCAAAGCACACACACATCAGGCCGCCTCACATATAGCTCACCAAATCAGGCTTGTGCTGAGTGTAAGCTAGTGTGCAATAATTGCCCCATTGTAAAAACAAAAATGCACTGCATGATCATACATTTATGTGAGATAATTATATGTTGTTGAAAAATGAAACGAGGCTAAGCTAAGGTTGTTGCTAGAGTGCTCTGGGCTGTTATGATGGTGTTGTGGGTAGTTTAAAGGGGTTATATGATGCGATTTAAATTTGTCCTTTCTCTTTGGAGTGTTACAAGCTCTTGGTGCATAAAGAAGATCTGTAAAGTTGCAAAGACTAAAGTCTCAAATCCAAAGAGATATTCTTTATAAAAGTTAAGAGTCAGCCACGCCTACCTAAAACGGCTCGTTCTAACACGCCCCCACATGTCTACGTCACGATGTGGGAAGATTTGCATAACGCCGCCCAAATGTTCACGCAAAGAAAGAAGGCGTAACTTTTATTCTCGCTGTAGTATTGTTGCCGCCGCCGCCATGTCGTGAAGGCGCTGTGTGATTCGTTGTGAAAGCGAAACTACTTTGTTTGGTCTTCCAAAAGAGGACGATATCCGCTTCGTCATGCCTGGAGCTGATCCGTGCTGGTCGCTGAGGAAATACAACAACTTTGCGCTGTGGATCGCCGGATCAGCTTTCACCGTGGACGAAGCGGAGTCCAGCCCGGGGTCGTTACATGTGGTTGCCGCAAGCCCTCCGGATGCTCCTTCGTCAAATCTGCCGGCCAATCACAGCACACCTCGCTTTTCAGACCGATGAGCTTTGTAAAAATCGACGCGTTTCAGAAAGGCGGGGCATAGAGGAGTAACAATAATGTACAGTATGTGGAAAATAATGTGTTTTTTTAATCTTAAACTGCATAAACACATTTCATTATACCAAATACACAAAATATTTTAGCAACATCATATGACCCCTTTAAGGCAGTTGCTTTCTAGCAAAATGATCTCAAGTCTCTAGATATGGCTCAGGACCCTGTTTTGCTGGTTAACATATGCTAGGGGAACAAAAGTCTTACTTTTCCTCGACACACATGATGCATGTGTGACAAATGTGCAACGTGTTATGTTGCAATGTTTAGGGGCTACAAAGTATTAACAATTAATCTTAGTGACACTGGCCTTGAACACCACTAAAAATGTTTTTTATATTCCAAAAATTCAACAAGTTTTAGGTTTAGTCTGTATGCATCATAGTTAGCTTTAAAAACAAACAATATAAGTCTATGGCGGTATTTAAATAACCAAGAAAACATGTCTGCATTGTAGGAGAATATGTCATCACAGACACAAAAACACATGTACACTTGACCTTGATTCCCCTCTTGGCTCTCGCTTAGATCACTCCTTGATTGGTTCACTGTAATTCTTTCTGAAGGTCAAGGAGGAATTGACCGTTCGAAAGCTGCCCGTATGTACTGCCTGCAAATCAGAGGCTTTGCAAAAACAGATCATAACATGCTCTCATCCACTCACGGAGTTCAAGAGAGAGGAAAAACAAAACACTAACAAAACAGAGAGCAACAACAGAACTCACTGCCTCTATGGGATGTGCGTTACGCTCGCCAGCAGCTAGGAAATGGCAGATATTTTGCATCATCACACAGATGTTTTCAATTAATCCCGAATTCCCAATCACTCCCGTGCCTATCGTCCCGTCTCCAGCCGGCTGCAAGTAAATAAATGTATTCTGTATCTATAGCTGCGGAGCCTCCCTCATCCGGCTCCACTCGTCCGGGCTCGCAAATGTGTTTTTTAACCTTGATTTGGAGGTGTCACTTCTGAGATTATTACTGCATTATTTGTCACCATGAATAGCATTTAACAGCAGCTGAGCCCAGAGGAGCCCACGGTGAACCACATGCAAAATGCAGCATGGGAAACTTCATTAATCTCTCTTTCACTTTCATGATGCTTTTCATTAGTTACACTGCTATCTGATCAACTGGAAAGTTGTGGGAGATTGTATGTGTTTCTGATGCTCTAACCGGTTTCTGTGACAGAGGAACGGCGATTTGCGACACACAAGAGGATGACAGTTAACTTTTCTGTGACTAACTAGTGCTTTGTCC